GATTGCAATCTCTTTAGAACCTCTTCCATGGTTACCCTGCCAACCCATAATTAATTTCCGGCTCTTCACGTCGGTGGTCAGCATGGAGATTTTTCATGTATTCACGGCGTTCAATGTCTTAGGAATCGTGAGGAATTCGCTTCCCTTCATAAATTCCGCAGATTGTGTCCACCGTTCCTCGTTGTAAGCCGCATCTTTTTTTCCTCGGACAATTTTAGTGCTGCCAATAAAATCGTCGTTTTTCCCTTTTCTTTTTTTTTTTTTAGTTTTACACGAGATCGCTAAAAGAAGGGCATAGCATGATGAAAAAGACGCCAAACTTGACAAAATTTTATCGTCTAAATGTTTATGTTATTATTAAGAGAAAAGATCAAAATATTTTTGGGGTATTTTTGTACATTTTCGTTAAAAATCTTCTTTTTTTTTTGAGTCATCAAAATTGACCATTTTTTCCATTTTATAAAAAAACTGGAAATCTCACTTTAAATATCAATAATCATTTTTTCAAAACTTATTTTAAGAAAATCAGAAATTATAATGTTTATTTAAAATATTTTGAACAAAGCTTAACTTAGCTTTTGCGCCGAAAAGATGTAATTTGAAAATAAAACAAAGCAGGTCATAAACTTTCGCGTCACTTGACATGTGATGAATGACATATTGACGGATTCCATGAGGATAATTTGTTCTACGGAAGGAGAAAAGTGAAATAATTTACATTTAAATGAACAAATTATTTACGTTGTTATTTTTAAGGAAAACTTTCAGCACCCTATTTTATTTTTTTATTTTTTTTGTAATTAGCTTTCAACTTTACGTTTACGATGCTTTATGGGAAATTTATTATAAAGAAATTAAAATAATATTGTTAAGAGTGAGATTAAATTTCATAAGAAAGGTATCTAATTAATTTATAGGTACCTTTCTTATGAAATTTTATCAGAAGTGTACATAAAATACTATAATTTTATGTACATTTATTACATTTTACTGTGTTATTTGTATTTCCATTCATTTTATTATTAATTTTGATATTTATGGAAAAATGTCATAACTGAGATTGATATAAAAATAAGATCATATAAATTTCATAACATGATACTGATACTTGTAGGTACCCTTCTCGGTTGAAATTGAAAAATCAAATTAACTTCTCCACACGTGTTTCGCAAAAGTAAAGGCCTTAACAGCGGAGAACAATGCTTAACTCAAATAACGCAACTTAATTATATTCTGGTTGGTCTTCCGTATTTTATAATTACAGCCTGATTATAAACACAAAATTACATTTCTTAATTACTGCGGGTCTTCTGATTAGTCAAAACGATACAATTTACAATGTGGTAAAAAAGATCTATCTCATAGGGACATTTACGAAAGTGGATGCTGCTTTTAATACTAATTTCATAATATTTTAAAAAATTAAATGTAAAAAATCTATTATAATTAAGAAATAACAAATAACTGTATTAAAAATTCATTTTCATCGAAAAATTTTTTTGCTTTCAGAAAATATTGTCCATATTCATAAAAACAACTAAAAGCAAATAAAAGCATTTGAAATTAAATAATATCTTTGTTTTATTGAGTTTTGTATGTTACAATTCAGAGCTGATTTTCAGGTGGGGATGGGGGCTCCAATTAAAAACAAAAAAAACATGATTTGCAGTCCTCAAAGCTTTCTGCCTTTAACTATTGTAATCATTAAACTAGACTCGATCGAATTTCTAGCGTTTTCATAAAATTAGTTATGGGGGGAGTAATATATATATATAAAAATATTTCTGCCATGGCTTTAATAAAAAAAAACATATTTCTAATAATTTCGATCATCTGTGAATAGTTCCTGAAAGTTTTATTAACATCCGACAATTATTTTTATTTTTGCAAGATTTTCCAATTTAATGTGTGCCATACCAAAAAGCATACTAAAAATTGTCTATGTTATTTACTAGTTCCGCTGATACAAAGAGAAACAAAGTTTTTTAATCAAAATTTAGAATGTTCTAAAAAGAATGAAAAATTTTAAAAAATAATTAAAAAAAAACTTTAGTCTTTCCTCTTAATAATAACATAAACATTTAGACGATAAAATTTTGTTTTCGGCAAGGTTGGAGTCATTTTCTTCATGCTCTTTTTTTAGCGATTTCGTGGAGGTACCTAGAACTTTTACATAAATACACAAACAAATAAAACTTAAGAAAACCGGACTAGAGATGTGGGTGGGCCAAAAATATGAAAAAAAAGTTAAAAGAACATCGCTTTGCCAAAAAAACAAGTTACACAAAAACAGGAAAATAAAATAGGGTGAAAGTAACGCCACTAAAATTCGGCCTTAAAATAAAACAAACAAATCACGCGTAAAAGAAAAAATTAAATTAAAACAATGGACACAATTAAAGACAAAAAGACAATTTACAAATAAATCTAAAAAGTTGACAATAAAGTTACAATTAAATAAAGTTTTTACCTACAAAAAATGAAAATACAATTTACAAATTAAATTGAGTATAAGGAAAAAAATAAAGCCTTACTTAGAAAACAAAAAGAAAATTTACAAACTGAATTGAGATGGAGGTGGGGAAAAAAATCTTCACTAAAAAGAGAGTGAGGGAGAAAAACAAAAGCTTGGAGTGAAAATTAAAGCCTCCCCGTAGAAAATAAAACAAAAATAAAACAAAAAGAGAGACAGGAAATAAACGCAAATTGAAAAAGAAAGGGGCCAAAAAAAGTTTCACAATTGAAAATGAATCAACTTAACGTCAAATGTACGTTTGTAAAAATCTAACTTCCTGTGGACAACTTTCAACGCATAGAATGTAAAATCTCACTTCCTCATTCATGCTCCGTTTTTATAGCGAAAGAAGATACCATTTCTTGACAAGGGAGCTAACTGTGGATTACTCCACACTTGTTATTTCGGGTTGTTTATGATTCGCCGAGATCGAAAAACATACAGGGCTGACACATGTACACTGTCCTTTAGTATTGTAGTGGATTGTGGCGGTGAAGATATAAAGAACGGTATTTAGCCACCGACCCCACGAGGGCATCATGTGGCACAAGGCCGGTTTAACGTGAGATCTCCGAGCCAAAAATATGCCCTCTGAACCCGTATAAACGGGTTCAGGGTCCGTTTACCTCCCCGAAAGAGACTCCGCCCTTCGGCGTAGCCTCGTTCGGTTTCCTCCTCGCTCGAAGGCAGAGAGTTCAACCGATCAGCCAATCAGCCGGTCGCCCGACTTCGGACTGAACTCAAGATGAAGATATAAAGAACACACGTGGGTTAAAATTTCCTGCTAGCCGGACCAGCTACATGAGAATGTTGGACTTTAATTAAGTCCAAAGAAGACAAAGAAAAACAAACAAGACCGATAATTATATACAAACAAATATATGTATTAACAACAAGTTACAAGCACATGGACAGTTACATTGAGTTTGTGTGGTGAATATTATGTGTGTGTGTATTGTGGTGATTATTCGTACGTACGTGTATTGGTATTGATCTTAGCGTGTTCCCAGAATTTGGGAAACGCTGTATTGGTGAGGGCTCACATATTGATATTAGCTGAAATCAAGAAGAGAAAAAGTATTACCACAACTCATCAACGCGAGATGGTATAAGGCCCAAGCCCTGAGGGAAAAGAGAGATCGAGGCAAGGATCACCCAGTAGAGAGAGACCCCTGGTGAAGGATTAAGGAACTGAAGAGGAGCTAACTCCGACAATAGTATTATAGATTATAATTATTATTGATTTATTTGGCAGAAGTACGAAAGCTGTTTACCTCCTCTTCTGTTAAACTCAGTCTCTTTGAAAGGCAGGAGCTGAAAAGATAAGAACTGATAGGAGATATGATTATCACAACGCTTTGCTTTAATCTCGGGAGAGGAGAGTTACTAAATAAAACATTCCCTGCAGATAGATTAGATGTGTATTGATCTCTTCGTGATAGTAAACACCATACTTGGGATAGGATTGGGTTGAGTTAGTAGTTTTTTACGACATATCGGGAATTCTTGGGTTACTTAATAACAATTATGTTTTTATTATTATACTTCAGTTAAACACTATAGCAAAGCAGTAATTGGATTTATACTTAACTCTATAATGAAACATCGATTCACGTACAATCACCGGAGTTAAGCAACATCGAGCCTGGTCATTACTGAATTCATTCAATTTACTTGTTCTACCTCATGTCAACGGACAGCGTGTGACCAAGCAGGCGCAGAGAGGCGCTCTCGTGGAATCGGGGTATCAGCCATTCTGAATGTAGACAGGGACGGTTCTCTGTGATGGGTAAATAAGAGCAAATAAAAGCAGATGAGAGTGGATTTATTGCCTTGCTTGGGGTGAAATGATTAAAAACAAATAAATAAAAAAAAGGAAACACCGGCTAGGATTATACTTGAGTCAATCAACAAACATTGATAGGAATTAAACTTGAATCTGTAAGTAAAAATTCGTCTGGTTTATATTTGAGCCTATAAGTAAACACTGGTCAGGTTTGTACTTGAATCTAGAGGTAAATATTGATCGTAAATATACTTGACCCTATAGGTAAACAATTACCCAGTTTATACTCAAGTCTGTAAGTAAAAACTGGTTTGGTTTATACTTGTGTCCATAAGTAAACACTGGTCAGGTTTGTACTTGAATCTAGAGGTAAACATTGATCGTAAATATACTTAGGCCTATAAGTAAACAATTACCCGGTTTATACAGGGGGTTTTAAGTAAACACTGGTCAGGTTTATACTTGAGTCTATAAGTAAACTCTGGTCAGGTTTATACTTGAGTCTATAAGTAAACAATAGTTGTGGTTTTATTTGATGATATAGGTGAACAGTGCTCGTTTATCCTTGAGTATAGAGATTAATTTTGGCCATGTTATATATTTGATTCGCTAGGCAAACATAGGTAGATAAATTTATTCATGTTGAAGGTTTACGGCCACATCATGTTAAAACACACGTAATTTGATTTATACTTAAATCTGTAATGAAACACCGATTCCTGTACGATCACCGAAGTTAAGCAATATCACATCTGGCCAGTACTTAGATGGATGATCGATTGGGAATACCAGTTGCTGTTTGCTTGGATGTGAGTGTGGTGTAATGTATAACGGCTCAAAATTGTTAATCGGTGAGCGGAGTTTCAATTTTTCGTTCGTCTAGTCATGTTTACTTAAGAGTAAATAGAATTGGGAAAGGTATGAATCCACCTCTTAATCCCCAGCTGTAGTTTAATTAGTAACATATGAATCACTAATTCATTATTATCTAAAAACCGTTCTTACAATCTAAAAATGTTTTTTGCCTTTCTTGCAAATGGTTGATAATCCGTAAAAAATGACTGAATCCTTCAGTTTTTTGCTATTTCTTAAGAGTCTGTAGAGAATGCACTTGACGTATTCTAGATCCTATCGGTAGGACTGACTAAATTAGCGATCTTTGGTTTGCTTGTTATGGGAACAAGTAATAAATTCTGTTTAGGCAAATTAACCTTGCTCTTTAACATCTGAATAACTAATGGGATTTCGAAAAGTTTAGAAAATAATCTGGAAAACATTTTTCGTCCAAAGTGAAAAGCTGTTGAATTTCTTAATAATGCCGTTATGTGGGGGATCCACAAATCCATGGATGAATTCATTCTTTCACATGTTACAGAAGGATTTCATTGTTTATAGACTTGAAGATACGAACTTTACGAAATACGAAATCTTCCATTGATGAGTTTCGTTTGCATCCTCTCTCCTGTCGTCGTAGTGCAGGCCGCTTTCCAAGGCATGCAGCAATAAACGACATCAAAAGAGGAGGTGTGGATGCAGGTGGATTCCCCTCCCAAATCGAACCCGTAGGCCACGACCGTGGTGATGCAATGCGGCCGGATGGGATTACTACTTTCCCTTTTAATGTGGAGAAGTCGTTGATTTGGGATGCGACCCGTGCCGATACATTTACGACCAGTAATTTGATCAGGTCCGCGATTGAGCCCGGGGGTCTGTCGTACGGGACGTGGAGATAAAAAAAATAGTTAAATATTATTCTCTTGAGAACAGATTTATTTTTACTCCACTAACAGTGAAGATTTCTTGGGTTATTGGCCCTCGTCCGATGGCGTTCTTTGTGGAGTTGGCGGGATTGGGTATCAATTAAGAGACGACCCTCGCGAAACGGAGTGGCTTTTGCAGCGTGTCTCATTGGCGATGGTTCGAGGCAATGATTTCTTAATCATTGCTTTCTGGCAGGGAATAGCAAAAAAAGAAAAAAATGCTTTTGCTTATGTTATGGTCCGGTTCCTTGTACCACGGTGATAGTCCAAGGTAGAAGCAATAAAGAACTCGAACACAGGTATGGAATAACACAGATATATTACAAACAGGAATATATACAGAGAAGTAGAAAGTGTTAGTACGAACAATCAGGTTTAGTAGAGAGAACAATGTAGTCTCGACCAGTATCACTATTCCAATGTCTTGCAGTAATTGTCAGAACGTGACTCTTTTTCGGACTGCCTCTGACTCGACTCTTGACTCGACTTGAAATACTGACTCGAACTACTGACTGACTCCTTGCCTACTCCTGAGGCGCAGTATTTATTAAGTATGGAATAGTCCTTTATTATTATTATTATTATTATTATTATTATTATTATTGGTAAGATCCCATAACAATTTATAGATACCTTGTTTATTTAATCAAATATTTAAAAAAAAAGAATTAACAAAATCCTGAATAGCAATGAGTTGGCAAATACATCCAAATTTTCCGATCTCCGCGAAGCCTTTGAATTGAAATTTAATAATCTATAATCTAAAATTGAAATAACGCATTTATTGCGAATAGAAACAAATTATCAGTATCGAATATTTCATTGAATATGCATTCATAGTGAGTTTTCAGTTCAAAGGTTGATATTTACGTTTTTGAAACACATTCTGGTTTGATATTTTTAGTTGTTATTCAAACAGGAATGTCCTTTCAAGGTCGCGTCATTGTTGACTCTACACATCTTCATATTGAAAACATCTAATTTAGTTTATACAATAATATTTCAAATTTAAAATGCATAGAGGTTTATAGATAGATATTTTTATCACTCTCTCTTAGTTTTCATTACCATCTGCATACATACATACATGCACACACACACACATATATATATATATATATATATATAATATTTATTCAAAAATTATAACATAAGAATGTTATAGCATCGCTACAAAAATAGTCATTTTGTTTCAACACTTCTGGTGTATTATCAAGTGATGGTGCGTATTGCGAAATAAAGAGATTTTTCTACATTATATCGAGCAATATATATATATATATATATATATATATATATATATATATCGATCACCGAAGTTAAGCATCGTAGAGCCAGGTAAGTACTTAGATGGGGGACCGCTTGGGAACACCTGGTACTGTAAGCCCCCAAAGTCCAACCCTTACCTCACAGTCGGTGGGGGGTGTAAACATCAGTGTCAGAGCTATGCCGCCCGGAACTTCGTTCCTGGTAGGGCCACCCAAGGCGGACAGGTCTGACACACGCTGGCTAACAAGGGCTCTGGTGAAAATCCAAGAGCGTCTGCATCGGTAACCGGCGGCTTCTGGTCGTTCCTGTCTCTGCGTCTGTGGGAACCCCTGCGGGCAAGCAAGAACGTTATCCGAGTAGGCCTGGGTACCCTACTTCTGTAATTTATCCCAAGTATCTTCTTCTCATAACAGGAAGAAGCCGGCTCAATCCGCCCAGGGTGAATGCCGCATGAGTACAGTATATATATATATATGTGTGTGTGTGTGTGCAGATATGTAGAAAAATAGGAAAGAACGCGTTAGCTAAATAATCCGGAGTTCTTTAGTATTTTTGTTTTTATTAAAAAAAAAAAAAGTGCTCCATGAAGAATTAGACCTTAAATTATAATTATTTTAAAAAAAAATATGATTTCTTCGCTTCCGATTGTTTCAAAAACGAGAGCCGAAAATCCCCAATATAATTATTAAAATTAAATTTAGTTAAAGTATTTTTTTAAATTTACGCATCTTTATAAGCATGTTCATTCGCAAAATTAATTACTATGAAAACGGCTGGGGCGAACATTTTGGTAAGGGGTCTAAGAGATTATTTTTATCCACATATCAGTCACCTTCGAAAAGAGGTCAAACTGAGACAGGGTGGGTATCCATTTCAAAGAGAATGATGGCATTCATGTTCGCACATCGTCTGATCAGCCACAGCGAAAGATTACTTTTGGCACCATAATATGTCGTTAAGTGTCTAGAGAATTTTGTTTTATTTATTTATTTATTTATCCTTTTGTTTTTTTGTTTGTTTGTGTTTTGGGTTTTTTTTTCTGTTCTAAAGGGCTGTTTCGTACTTTAACGCGTCGCATTGCACTACAATTTGTTTTTTTCTTTTTGACGACTTCATAAAGGGTTTTTTCTATCTTATGATTGGCTTAAGCTTTTTAAACCTTTTATTAGACTATGAAATTTAATGTCGTTATGTCTAGAGAATTTTGTTTTTATATATTACTTTTATATATATATATATATATATATATATATATATATATATATATATATATATATATATATATATATAGTAAAGATAAGTAAATCAGTTGGTATATAATCCACGTGGATCCTGGTAGTAAAAAAATATTAAAACTGAACCACAAAAAGAGCTCACTGCATTTATTATAACAGAGCAAATAATTAATAAATAATGAAATCCATAATCACCTCATATGAGGAATAGTCTATTTCGGCAGACGAAGATATCGGTCTTCTGTTTTATCAACCCTGTGTGGACTGAGGTCGTGTCAGAAATAGAAATTTAACTGTGAAAGTCAAGCACCCACCAAAATAAAAAAAACGACGAATTCGGGTTTAATTTTAAAACTTCTTCACTTTAAGACAAATACCTTCCATCCCTGTCTCGTGCCTTTCGTCTGACTGAAACATTGAAATGGATAAATTATCTGTTACTGTTTCGACTGTTTTTTTTTTTAGCTTTCACAGTTAAATTTCTATTTCTGATACGAACCCAGTCCACACCGAAGTTGATAAGATAGACGACCGATACCTTCGTCTGCCGAAAGTGTTTATTCCCCATATGTGGTGATTTTTGATTTTATTATTTATTAATTATATATATAAATTTATGTGTGCGTGTCTGTATGTATGTGTGTGCATGCGTGCGTGCGTGTGTCATTGTGTATGTGTGTGTGTGTGTGGATGTAATGTTTTTTCGGTCGCAATTAATCTTCTAAACATATTTGGTTCAATAATATTGACAAGTTCTCATATTACCAAATATTTTTTTTTATTAACAGATTCGCGACAGCTATTAGGGAGATGTGATTATATATAAAAGAGATTATCCATTATTACTGGTTAGGTAATAAGCATTATAACAAAGACAAAATAGCAATAGAGTGGGAAAATAAGTGAAATTACATGCGAGATTGTATGTGGTGGGTGAAGTCAGACGTGGGATGATGAGTTTTTGCCATGGATTGTTTTTCAAAACGAGGCTGCTCCGAGCACTAGCTTTTTGTATACATTAATTACTAATTTTTCTAAATTAATAACTGTTTGTGCTCAGTTTTTGACATTAACAGCTATCTGCTGATTTGTTAAAAATTTGGAATAATGTAATAATAAAAATTAAAATTTCACCTTCTGATAGAGGACGTGATCTATAATTTTTTTTTTCAATTTCCGAATTGTTTTGTGTTATCGGCAAATTTGCCAAAGTTCATATTTATTTTAATTTTTTCTTATTTTCTTCCTGAGTACTTTCGAATGTTGCTACATTCGTTTTCAAGATTTTGTGTAGATTTCCGCAATTGTTTTTTTTTTTTTTTTTTTTGCTTTTGATGTTCTTACGTTTGATGGAATCCATTCCAGATCAATCATATAGTGCTGGCGTTTAAACGTCCAGTTTGACATTTTATGCCTATAAACTATGTAAATACATACATACACAACACACACACACACACACACACACACACACACATATATATATATATATATATATATATATATATATATATATATATATATATATATATATATATATATCACGTCACGACGATGAATATAAACATTTATGGAAAAAAAGAGTATTGAATTGTGTTAATATATATATATATATGTATGTATGTATATGTATATATATGTGTGTATGTGTGTATGTATGTGCATGTACACGTATGTCTGGTGTGTGTGTGTGTACATGCCTAAGTGTATGTACCTACTTGTATATGTTTTTTTTTTGTGTGTATTAGTATGTGTTTTTGAACATAGAAATATTTGGTCCTTTAAAATGAGACAATCGTTATATTCATCTTCATATATTTATATTTGATTTAATTTTCCCAATTACAAAGCGGCCCTTTATGTAAACACAATTTTATTTTCCTTCGTCCCATCCCTCTCCCCCACCCATTTTTTTTTTTTTTTTTTTTTCCTATCCGAATTGTCTGTGGTGTGTATATGTCACCACGAAATGTATCTTTATGTATTAGACATCCGTCGACTTTCTTTCTCTCCTCTTTTTAAATCCACCCCACCCACATCTCCAAAAATTCTCTCTGTCACTCATCCTCATACTTACACTTTCTCTAAATTCTGTTTTGATTTCCGGAGTTGTTTTTTTCTGTTTTCATTTTGAATTTGTAGGTCTGATGATTTGGATCGTATTTACGATTCCAATGGAATAAATTATGACCATGGAATATTAGTGTTTAAGCCTTTTTATTATATCCTTACTCTGTCTTAGACATTGAGTTCTACCTGGATCCTTCCTCTTGGAAAAAATTTTTTCTGAAAATATACATGTATGGGAATTTTTTAGATATATTTTTCATATGTATGTATATTTTCCACTAATATTATCTATATATATATATATATATATATATATATATATATATATATATATTTTTATTCAAAAACAAAATATATATATATATATATATATATATATATATATATATATATATATATATATATATGTATATAGATATAGATATATTGAAAAATAAAAAATATTAAAAAAATTAAAATCTTCAGACACTCTGGGTTGTATATTAATGTTCTTTTTTTTAATTATTATTTCATTTAGATTCTTCGACTAGTTTCGGCCAACATGGTCATCATCACCAGAAAAAAAAATTCTGCTTGCTGGTAGCAGTGAACTAAAGAAATGAATGTCTTGATGGAGAAAATGAACTTTTGTTTGTAGTTTTCATTTGTTTCTTTTTTATTTTTTTAGCATGAATTTTGGTCAGTCTTTGTGTTAGTCAATGAGTCTCTCTTAAGTTGTTATTTAAGATAAGAGCTGGATGGATTCATGATGCTCAGAATTCCCTTGGTCAGTTTGACAGTTTTATTGGTTCCTGGAAAAGAAGACGTGTCTATGTTACGTGTGTGTGTGTTATTTAGTTATTAGTGGGTGATTGCGTATGATGTGTGTAAGCGTGTATATTATTATGGGTGGGTTATCATTTGGCACATTAGGGAGAGGTGAGTATGATATATATATATATATATATATATATATATATATATATATATATATATATATATATATAGTATAGTCTTAAGATTGCTATAATTATGGGATAAAGTGCTCAATATCAGAGATAGAGCGTGTGTAAATATAAAAGTGAACATAGAAGTCAACACTTAGAGGCCACAGTCTGTATTATGCTAGATGCAATCCTCAGCCCACGAGTGCTGTTATTTAATAAAATATATTTCTTATTTAATAAATAATAAAAAAATAAATAAAAACAAGCAAAATAATTTAATCCAAATAAATAAATGAACAAATAAACGACTTCCGGTAAAATAACTACCAAAAGAGACTACCCACAATGCACCACTGACCCGTATATATATATATAAATAGCCGACAACAATAACAGCACTTGTGGCCTGATGATTGCATCTAGCATGAAACAGACTGTTGCCTCTAAGTGTTAACTTCTATGTTCATATATATATATATATATATATATATATATATATATATATATATATATATATATAATGGATAATTTTGATTGTTAATTATTGTATATGTATGATAATGTAGTTCCTTATTTACTCGAATAAACCTTGATTCATTTCAGTAACGTCAGAGTCGGAATGAACGATCACTCCACGTGCGACCCATTAGAATGTCTGATAGTCAACTTCTTGAGGGCAACTCCCTGCGTATGCTCGGTCTCACGTTGACTGCTGACCTGAGATGGAACAAATACACTGAGTCAATTGGTTCTTCCACCGCGAGGAAAGTTGGCTCTCTGTGCCGCGCCGGGAATTTTTTCTACCCGGAATCGATACTTCAAATATACAAAACAACCATTCGCCCTTGCATGGAGTATTTCTGCCATATATGGTCTGGGGCACCTTCTGTTTACCTCGGAGTTCTTGACAAGATCCAGAGACGGATGTTATTTCTCTTTTCACCCAATCTTTTATCCAGGTTTCCTTCTTGGTTCCACACAGTCTACTTTCCGCCTTCTCATTCTTCTTTTCACCCAATATGCTTTCCACCTTGTAATACTGTTTTCACCCAATCTCCATTCCACCTTCTCATTCCTCTTTTCACCTAAACTTCTTTTCAAGTTTTCATTCTTCTTTTCGCCGAGTCTATTTTCCACCGCCCCTATTCTTCTTTCCACGTTTTTAAACGTCTTTTGATAAAGTCTAGTTTTCGTGTTCTCATTCTTCTTTTCACCCAATCTATTTCCACGTTTTCATTGTTCATTTCACCCAATCTATTTTCAACTTCTTTTTTGTTTAACCTAGACTTCTTTCCACGGATTCATTCTTCATTTCACCCAATTTACTTTCCACGTTTTCATTCATCTTTTCACACAATCTAACTTTCACCATTCCATTTTCTTTTTCACACAATCTACTTCCCACCTCATTCTTATTTTCACCCAATCTACTTTCTGCCTTCTCATTCTTGTTTTTACCAAGTATGCATTCCACGCTTTCTTCTTTAACCCAATTTAAATTCCATATACTACTTTTTTTCACCCAATCTACTTTCCGCCTTCTCGTCCTTATTTTCACCCAATCTATTTCCACATTCTCATTCTTCTTTTCACCCTGCCTACTTTCGATCTACTCATTCTTCTATTCACCCAATCTACTTTCCGCCTTCTCGTCCTTCTTTTCACCCAATCTATTCCCACATTCTCATTCTAATTTTCACCCTACCTACTTTCGATCTACTCATTCTTCTTTTCACCCAATCTACTTTCCACATTCTCGTCCTTCTTTTCACCCAATCTATTTCCACATTCTCATTCTTCTTTTCACCCTACCTACTTTCGATCAACTCATTCTTCTATTCACCCAATCTACTTTCCGCCTTCTCGTCCTTCTTTTCACCCAATCTATTTCCACATTCTCATTCTTCTTTTCACCCTACCTACTTTCGATCTACTCATTCTTCTATTCACCCAATCTACTTTCCGCCTTCTCGTCCTTCTTTTCACCCAATCTATTTCCACATTCTCATTCTACTTTTCACCCTACCTACTTTCCATCTACTCATTCTTCTATTCACCCAATCTACTTTCCACCTTCTCGTCATTCTTTTCACCCAATCTATTTCCACATTCTCATTCTTCTTTTCACCCTACCTACTTTCGATCAACTCATTCTTCTATTCACCCAATCTACTTTCCGCCTTCTCGTCCTTCTTTTCACCCAATCTATTTCCACATTCTCATTCAACTTTTCACCCTACCTACTTTCGACCTACTCATTCTTCTATTCACCCAATCTACTTTCCACTTCTCGCCCTTCTTTTCACCCAATCTATTTCCACATTCTCATTCTTCTTTTCACCCTACCTATTTGATCTACTGTTCTTCTATTCACCCAATCTATTTCTGTCTTCCTCGTCCTTATTTTTCACCCTGTCTATTTCCACATTCTCATTCTTCTTTTCACCCTACCTCTTTCTGATCTACTCTTCTTCTATTCACCCAATCTACTTTCCACCTTCTCGTCCTTCTTTTTCACCCAATGTATTTCCCACTTTCTCATTCTTCTTTTCCCCTACCTACTTCGATCTACTCATTCTTCTATTCACCCAATCTACTTTCCATCTTCTCGTCCTTCTTTTCACCCAATCTATTTCTACATTCTTCCATTCTTCTTTTGTCCCCTTCCTACTTTCGATCTACTCATTCTTCTATTCACCCAATCTACTTTCTTCCACACCCACGTCCTTCTTTTTCACCCAATCTATTTCTTCTCATTCTCATTCTTCTTTCCACCCAATCTACTTTCTTTTCCATCCAATCTACTGTCTGTCTTCTTCTATTCACCCAATCTACTTTCTGCCTTCTCGTCCTTCTTTTCACCCAATCTATTTCCACATTCTCATTCTTCCACCCTACCTACTTTCTGATCAACTCATTCTTCTATTCACCCAATCTACTGTCTGTCTTCCACCTTCTTTTCACCCAATCTATTTCCACATTCTCATTCTGCTTTTCACCCTATCTACTTTCTGTCTTCTATTCTTCTATTCTTCTCTACTTCCACCCAATCTACTTTTCTTCTTCCACCCTATTCTATCTCATTCTTCTTTTCACCCAATCTACTTCTGTCTTCCACCCAATCTACTGTCTGTCTTCTCGTCCTTTTTTCAATGCTGTATTTCCACCCAATCTCATTCTGTCTTCCACCCTAATCTACTGTCTGTCTTCCACCCATTCACCCTGTCTGTCTTCCACCTTCTCTCCTGTCTTTTCCACCCAATCTATTTCTGTCTTCTCATTCTTCTTTTCTGTCTTCCTACTTTCTACTGTTCTTCACCCAATCTACTTCTTCTTCCACCCTTTCACCCAATCTATTTCCACCCAATCTCGTCCTTCTTTTCACCCAATCTACTGTCTGTTTCCACATTCTTCACCCAATCTCTGTCTTTTCCCAATCTACTGTCTGTCTTCCTTTCAATCTACTGTCTGTCTTCCACCCTACCTACTGTCTGTCTCATTTCTTCTATTCACCCAATCTCTTTCCCACCTTCTCGTCCTTCTTTTCACCCAATCTATTTCCACATTCTCATTCTTCTTTTCACCCTACCTGTCTTTCGATCTACTCATGTCTGTCTTTCACCCAATCTACTGTCTGTCTTCCACCCAATCGTCCTTCTTTTTCACCCAATCTATTTCCACATTCTCTGTCTTCTTTTCACCCAATCTACTGTCTGTCTTCCCATTCACCAATCTACTGTCTGTCTTCTTCTACTGTCTGTTTCCACCCAATCTACTTCTGTCTTCCACCCAATCTACTGTCTGTCTTCTCTACTGTCTGTCTTCCACCGTCCTTTGTCTGTCAATCTATTTCCACATTCTCATTCTGTCTTTTCCACCCACCTACTGTCTGTCTTCTCATTCTTCTATTCACCCAATCTACTTCCACCAATCTTCTCGTCCTTCTTTTCACCCAATCTATTTCCACATTCTCATTCTTCTTTTCACCCTACTACTGTCTTCTTCCATCAACTCATTCTTCTATTCACCCAATCTACTTTCCGTCCTCCACCTCGTCTTCTTTTCACCCAATCTATTTCCACATTCTCATTCTTCTTTCACCCTACCTGTCTTCCACCCTACTCATTCTTCTATTCACCCAATCTACTTTCCATCTTCTCGTCCTTCTTTTCACCCAATCTATTTCCACATTCTCATTCTTCTTTTCCCCCTACCTACTTTCGATCTGTCTTCCATTCTTCTATTCACCCAATCTACTTTTCCACCTACTCGTCCTTCTCTTCACCCAATCTATTTACACATTCTCATTTTTCTTTTCACCCTACCTACTGTCGATCTACTCATTCTTCTATTCACCCAATCTTCTTTCCACCTTCTCGTCCTTCTTTTCACGCAATCAATTTCTACATTCTCATTCTTCTTTTCACCCTACCTACTTTCGATCTACCCATTCTTCTATTCACCCAATCTACTTTCCAATTTCTCGTCCTTCTTTTCACCCAATCTATTTCCACATTCTCATTCTTCTTTCACCCTACCCACTTTCGATCTACTCATTCTTCTATTCACCCAATCTACTTTCCGCCTTCTCGTCCTTCTTTTTCACCCAATCTATTTCCACATTCTCATTCTTCTTTCTGTCTTCCTACTTTCGATCAACTGTTCTTCTTTCACCCAATCTACTGTCTGTCTTCCACCTTCTCTACGTCCTTCTTTTCACCCAATCTATTTCCACATTCTCATTCTTCTTTCACCCTTCCACTTTCGATCAACTCATTCTTCTATTCACCCAATCTACTTTCCGTCTGTCCTTCTTTTCACCCAATCTGTTTCCACATTCTCATTCTTCTTTTCACCCAATCTACTTTCTGTCTACTCATTCTTCTATTCTACCCAATCTGTTTTCCACCCAATCGTCCTTCTTTTCCACCCAATCTATTTCCACATTCTCATTATTTTTCACCCTGTCTTCCACCCATCTACTCATTCTTCTTCCACCCAATCTACTTTCCGCCTTCTCGTCCTTCTTTTCCCAATCTATTTCCACATTCTCATTCTTCTTTTCACCCTACCTACTTTTGATCAACTCTTCTTCTTTTCACCCAATCTCTTTCCGCCTTCTCGTCCTTCTTTTCCACCCAATCTATTTCCACATTCTCATTCTTCTTTTCACCCTCCTCCTTTCGATCAACTCATCTGTTTTTCCACCCAATCTACTTTCCGCCTTCTCGTCCTTCTTTCACCCAATCTGTTTCCACATTCTCATTCTTCTTTTCACCCTACCTACTTTCTTCCACCATCTACTCATTCTTCTATTCACCCAATCTACTTTCCGCCTTCTCGTCCTTCTTTTTTTTCTTTCAAATCTATTTCCACATTCTCATTCTTGTTTCTTTTTCACCCTACCTACTTCCAATCAACTCATTCTTCTATTCACCCAATCTTCTTTCCCCTTCTCTCGTCCTTCTTTTCACCCTATCTATTTCTGTCTCATTCTTCTATCACTCAATCTGTTCTTCTTTCACCCTACATCTACTTTCCGATTTCTCATTCCACCCTTTTCACCCAATCTACTTTCCCTTTTTCGTCTTCTTTTCACCCAATCTATTCATCTGTCTTTCTCATTCTTCCTTTTCACCCCAATCTATTTACCTTCTCATTCTTCTTTTCATCTACTCATTCTTCTTCTATTCACCCAATCTACTTTCTTCCGCCTTCTCGTCCTTCTTTTCACCCAATCTATTTTGTCATTCTCATTCTTTCTTTTTCACCCAATCTACCTGTCCTTCTTTTCACCAAATCTATTTCCACATTCATTCTTCTTTTCACCTGCATCTATCTTCTTCTTTCACCTTCTATCGTCCTCCTTTTTTCACCCAATCTATATCCACATTCTCATTCTTCTTTCAATCCTACCCTACCTACTTTCACCCAATCTACTCATTTTCTCTGTCCTTCTTTTCACCCAATCTATTCACATTCTCATTCTTCTTTTCACCCTACCTTTTCATCTACTCATTATTCTCCCAATCTCTTTCCCGCGTCCGTTTCTTTTCAAGTCTATTTCCACATTCTCATTCTTCTTTTTACCCTACCTACTTTCGATCTACTCATTCTTCTATTCAACCGATCAACTTTCCAATTTTCTACACTTTTTCAACCAATCTAGTTTCGCCTTCTCGTTCTACTTTTCACCAAATCTACTTTACACCTTCTTATTATTCTTTTCACACAATCGACATTCTACATCAACATTCTTTTTACAGTAAATCTACTTTCCGTCATCTCATTCTTATTTCACCCAATCCACCATGAACCTTCTCATTCCTCTATTCACCCAATCTACTTTCCACTTCCTCGCGCTTCTTTTCAACAATTATATTTTCCACATTGTAATTCTCTTTTCACCCAATCTACTTTCCACATACTCATTCTTCGTTTCACCTAATATGCTATCCACCTTCTCAATCGTCTTTACACGCTGTCTACTTTCGAACTTCTCATTCTTTGTTCACCCAGTCGACGTACCACATTCGCATTTATTTTCAACCAAAAATACTTTCCTCTTTTTACGCATTATCACTCCCCCTTATCAGTCTTCTATTCCCCCAATCTGACTTACACGTTCTGATTCATGCAATCTATATTCCCATTCTGTGTGTTATTTTTAGCCAAAAACCTATTTCGAGGTATCATTGATAATTTCACGCAATTTACTTCCCAACATTTCTACTTATTTAACTTAAAGTACTTTCTAACTTTTCACTCATCTTTTCAGCAATCTAATTTTCACAAGATAACATTTCTTTTCCCAAAATCAACATTCAACATTCTCATTAAACTGTTCACCGGTTCTACATTCCACATTTACACAACGTTCTTATTTTGCCCGATCTACATTCCACATTCTGTTTATTCTTTTCGCCCAAATTTCATTCCACTTTCTCATTATTATTTTCACCCAATCTACATCCTAACTTCTCATTATGCTTTTAATCCAATCTTTATTCCATCTTATTATTATTCTATTAAACCAATGTATATTCCACTTGCTCATTGTTCTCTTCACCAAAATGACATTGCACCTAATCATTATTCTTTAAACCAAAAATTACAATCCACATTCTCATAATTCTTTTCACGCAAACTTTACACAATTTTCTCATTATATTTTTCAAACAATGCACATTACACCTTCACATTATTCGTTTCACCCAAACTATATTCCACCTTCACATTATTCGTTTCACCCAAACTATATTCCACCTTCACATTATTCGTTTCACCCAAACTATATTCCACCTTCTCATTATACTTTTCACAGAAACTAAGTTCTTCATTCTCATTATGTATGTCACCCAATCTACATTCCAAATTAACATTATTCTTTTCATCCAAACTGCATTCCACCTTCACATTATTCGTTACACGTAATCCACATTCTATCTCCTCAATATTATTTTCACCCGAACTACAACACACCTTCTCATTATTCCTTTCACTCAAAATACATTAAACATTCTAATTATTCTTTTTACACAATCTACATTACACCCTCTCAATATTCGCTTCACCCAAACTACATTCCAAGTTAGCATTATTCATTTTACCTAATCCTCATTCCACTTTCTCATTATTCTTTTCAACAAATCAATTTTCCACATTCTCATTATTTTTTTAGCCAAACTACTTTCAACATTCACATTATTCTTTTCACCCAACGTACTTTCCATTTTCTCATTAATCTTTTCACCGAAACTGCGTTCTATTTTCTCATTGTTCTTTTCACCAATCTACATTCCAACTTTACATTATTCTTATCACCCAATCTACATTCTACATTCTCAATATTCTTTTCTCCTAAACTACATCCCACATTATAAATACTGTTTTCACCCAGTCTACATTAAACCCTCTCAATATACGTTACACCCAATCTAAATTCAACATTTTCCTTATTCTTTTCACCCAATCTACATTCCACTTTCTCATTTTCCTTTTCAACAAATCTAGATTCCAACTTCTCATTATACTTTCACCCAATCTAGATTCCACCCTCTGAGTATACATTTCACTCAACGTACTTTCAACAATCTCATTATTCTTGCCAGCTAATGTAATTTCCAATTTCTCATTATTTCTTTTGCTCCATGTCCTTTCCAACTTCTCATTAATCTTTTCACACACACAACCTTCCCATTATTCCTTGAACCCGATCTACATTCCACCTACACATTAATCTTTTCGACCAATCTATATTCCACCTCCTCATTATTTTTTCAACTAATCTACTTTCCACTTCTTAAAGTTTTTCACCCAATCTACATCCAATCTTTTCATTATACTCTTGTCACAATCTACATTCCACATTCTGATTATTCCTTTCACCCCATCTACATTCCAACTTGTCATTATTCTTTTCACCCAATCTACATTCGACCTTTTCATTATTCTTTTCCTCCAATCTACATTCCACGTTCTCATTATTCTTTTCAGCCAATCTACATTCTACCGTCTCATAATTTTTTTTCACACAATCTACATTCCAACTTTTCATTATTAAATTCACCCAATCTAATTTCCACCTTCTCATTACTTATTTCACCCAATCTAGATTCCACCGTCTCATTATTCTTTTCGACCAATCTACTTATCTCCTTATTATTATTATTGTTTACACACAATCTTCATTCCACCATATTAGTCTTTTCAACCAATCTACATTCCAAATTCTCATTATTCTTTTCACCCAATGTACATTCCACCTTCTTTCACCCAATCTACATTCCACATACGCATTGTTCTTTTCAGCCAATCAACATTCTACCATCAAATTATTCTTTTCACCCAAACTACATTCCATTGTCATTATACTTTTCACCAAATCTACACTCCACCTTCTCATTATAGTATCCACCCAATCTACATTCCACTTACTCTTTATTGTTTTCACCCTATCTACATTTAACCTTCTCATTATTCTTTTTACCCAAACTACATTCCATCTTCTGAGTATTCCTTTCACCCAATCTACAATCCATCTTCGCATTATTCTTTTCACCCAATCTACATTCAACCTTATGAGTATACCTTTCACACAATCTACATTCCACCTTTCCATTAGTTTTTTCAACCAAATCTACATTGCAACTTCTCATTCTTCTTTTCACCCAATATACATTCCATCTTCTCATTATTCCTTCTCGCCCAATATACATTCCAAATTCTCATACTTCTTTTCACCCAGTATACATTCCATCTTCGCATTATTCCTTTCACCCAATCTAAATTCCATCTTCTCATTCTTCTTTTCACCTAATATACATTCCATTTTCTCATTATTCCTTTCTCCCAATCTACATTCCAGCTTCTCATTATTCCTTTCACCCAATCTACCTTACATATTCTCATCTTCTTTTCACCCAGTATACTTTCCATATTCACATTATTCCTTTCTCCCAATCTACATTCCAGCTTCTCATTCATACTTTTAGCCAATCTACATTCCAACTTCTCATTATTCTTTTCACCCAGTATGCATTCCATCTTCTCATTCTTCTTTTCACCCAATCTACATTCCATCTTCTCATTATTCCTTTCTCCCAATCTACATTCCATCTTTTTATTCATCTTTTCACCCAATATATATTCCATCTACACATTATTATATTCACCCAATCTACATTCCATTTTCTCATTATTCCTTTCTTCCAAACTACATTCCATCATCTCATTATTCTTTCACCCAATCTACATTCCATCTTATCATTATTCTTTTCAACCAATCTACCTTCCAACTTCTCATTATTCCTTTCACCCAATCTACATTAAAACTTCTCATTATTCTTTCACCCAATCTACATTCTAACTTATCATTCATCCTTTCACCCAATCTAGATTCCAAATTCTCATTCTACTTTTCACCCAATCTACATTCCATCTTGTCATTCTTCTTTCCACCCAGTATACATTCCATTTTCCCATTATTCATTTCACCCAATCTACATACCAACTTCTCATTCATCCTTTTACCCAATCGAGATTCCATCTCCTCATTATTTTTTAACCCAATCTACATTCCAAGTTCTCATTATTTCTTTTCACCCAATCTACATTCCAACTTCTCATTCTTCTTTTCACCCAGTATGCATTCCATCTTCTCATTCTTCTTTTCACCCAATCTACATTACATCTTCTCATTCTTCCTTTCACCCAATCTACATTCCATGTTCTCATTATTCTTTTCACCCAGTAGGCATTCCATCTTCTCATTATTCCTTTCACCCAATCTACATTCCAACTTCACATTCTTCTTTTCAGCCAGTAGGCATTCCATCTTCTTTTCACCCAATCTACATTCCATCTTCTCATTCTTCTTTTCACCTAATATACATTCCATTTTCTCATTATTCCTTTCTCCCAAACTACATCCCATCTTTTCATTATTCCTTACACCCAATCTACATTCCAACTTCTCATTATTCCTTTCACCCAATCTACATTCCATCTTCTCATTCTTCCTTCTCACCCAATCTACATTCCAAATTCTCATTCTTCTTTTCACCCAGTATACATTCCTTCTTCTCATTCTTCTTTTCACCCAATATACATTCCATTTTCTCATTATTCCCTTCTCCCAATCTACCTTCCAACTTCTCATTATTCCTTTCACCCAACCTACATTCAAATTTCTCATTATTCCTTTCACCCAATCTACATTCCATGTTTTCATTCTTCTTTTCACCCAGTAGGCATTCAATCTTCTCATTCTTTTTTCCCCCAATATACATTCCATCTTCTGATTATTCCTTTCACCCAATCTACATTCCACCTTCTCTTTATTCTTTTCACCCAATATACATGGCATCTTCTCATTATTCCTTTCTCCCAAACTGCATTTCATCTTCTCATTATTCGTTTCACCCAATCTACATTCCATTTTCTCATTATTCCTTTCTCCCAAACGATTTCCATCTTCTCATTATTCCTTTCACCCAATCTACATTCCAACTTATCATTCATCCTTTCACCCAATCTAGATTCCATCTTCTCATTATTCCCTTTCACCCAATCAACATTCCATCTTCTCATTCTTCTTTTCCCCTAGTATACATTCCATTTTCCCATTATTCCCTTCTCCCAAACTACATTCCAACTTCTCATTATTTCTTTTCACCCAATCTACATTTCATCTTCTCATTCTTCTTTTCACCCAATCTACATTACATCTTCTCATTCTTCCTTTCTCCCAAACTACATTCCAACTTCTTATTATTCATTTCAGCCAATCTCATTCCAACTTCTCAGTCATACTTTTACCCAATCTAGATTCCATCTTCTCATTATTCTTTTAACCCAATCTACATTCCAACTTATCATTAATTCTTTTCACCCAATCTACATTCCATCTTCTCATTCTTATTTTCATCCAGTATGCATTCCATCTTCTAATTCCTCTTTTCACGCAATATACATTCCACTTTCTCATTATTCCTTTCTCCCAAACTACATTCCATCTTCTCATTATTCCTTTCACCCAATCTACATTCCAGCTCCTCATTATTCCTTTCACCCAATCTACATTCCAACTTCTCATTCTTCTTTTCACCCAATATACATTCCATCTTCTCATTATTCCTTTCACCCAATCTACATTCCAACTTCTTATTATTCATTTCACCCAATTTATATTCCAACTTCTCATTCATCCTTTCACCCAATCTACATTCCATCTTCTCATTATTCCTTTCGCCCAATCTGCATTCCAACTTCTCATTGTTTCTTTTCACCCAATCTACATGCCATCTTCTCATTCTTCTTTTCACCCAATCTACATTCCAACTTATCATTAATTCTTTTCACCCAATTTACATTCCATCTTCTCATTCTTATTTTCATCCAGTATGCATTCCATCTTCTCATTCCTCTTTTCACCCAATATACATTCCATTTTCTCATTATTCCTTTCTCCCAAACTACATTCCATCTTCTCATTATTCCTTTCACCCAATCTACATTCCAGCACCTTATTATTCCTTTCACCCAATCTACATTCCAACTTCTCATTCTTCCTTTCACCCAATATATATTCGAGCTTCTCCTTATACCTTTCTCCCAATCTACATTCCAACATGTCATTATTCTTTTCACACAATCTACATTCCAACTTTTCATTATTCTTTTCAACCAATCTACTTTTCTAATCATTATTATTATTGTTTACACACAATCTGCATTCCACCATATTAGTCTTTTCAGCCAATCTACATTGAAAATTCTCATTATTCTTTTCACCCAATCTACATTCTCCCATCTCATTATACTTTTCACCCAATCTACATTCCACATCCGCATTGTTCTTTTCAGAATATCTACATTCTACCTTCAAATTATTCTTTTCACCCAATCTACACTCCACCTTCTCATTATAGTATCCACACAATCTACATTCCACTTTCTTATTATTGTTTTGAACCAATCTACATTCCAACTTATCATTAATTCTTTTCACCCAATCTACATTCCAGCTCCTCATTATTCTTTTCACCCAATCTACATTCAGCCTTATGAGTATACCTTTCACCCAATCTACATTCCACCATTTCATTAGTTTTTTCATAGCTACATACCACTTTCTCATTATTCTTTTCACCCAATCTAAATTCCACCTTCTCATTATTATTTTCACCCAACGTACATTCCAGCTTCGCATCACTTTTTACTCATCTGCATTACATCTTCACATTATTCTATTCATACACTCTATATTCCAAAATCTCATTATTGTTTTCACCCAATCTACATTTCACGTTCTCAGTATACTTTTCAGCCAAACTACATTCCACCTTATGAGTATTCCTTTAACATAATCTACATTCCACCTTGTCATTATTCTTTTCGCCCAATCTCCATTCTACCTTTTCATTCTTCTTTTCACACAATCTACATTCCAGCTACGCATCATATTTACTGATCTGCATTACATCTTCACATTATTCTATTCTTACTCTCTACATTCCAACATCTCATTATAGGAAGATAGTGAGAAGATGGAATGTAGACTGGGGGAAAGAAAGAATGAGAAGTTGGAATGTAGATTGTGTGAAAGGATTGAGAGAGGATGAAATTGGGTGAAATAATTTCACCCAATCTAGATTCCATTTTCTCATTATTCCTTTCACCCAATCTACATTCCATTTTCTCATTCTTATTTTCATCCAGTATGCATTCCATCTTCTAATTCCTCTTTTCACGCAATATACATTCCACTTTCTCATTATTCCTTTCTCCCAAACTACATTCAAACTTCTGATAATTATTTCACCTAATCTATATCCAGCCTTTTTACTTTTTTGCCACAATGTACTTTGCATTCTCATTATAGTTTTCACCCAATCTACATTCCATATTCCACGTTTTGATTATTCTTTTAAATCAATCTACATACCACCTTTTGAATATTCATTTCACCCAATTTTCATTTCATCATCGCATTATTCTTTTCACATTTACATTCAACCTCCTCATTATTCTTTTCACAATATATATCTTTTAACCAAACTATATTCCACCTTCTGAGTATTATTTTCACCCAATATACAATCTACCTTCTCATTATACCTTACCCCCAATATACATTCCAACTCCCCATTATTCTTTTCATAATATCTACATTCCACTTTCTAATTATTCTTTTCACTTAACATATATTCTACCTTCTCATTATTCTTTTCACCCAAACTACATTCCACCATCTGAGTATTCCTTTCACCCAATCTACATTCCATCATTTGAGCATACCTTTCACCCAAACTACATTCAACCTTGTCAGTATTCTTTTCACACAATATACATTCAATTTTCTCATTTTTCTTTTCACACAATCCACATTCCACGATCTCATTCTTCTTTTCAACCAATCTGCATTCCATCTTCTCCTTATTCCTTTCACCCAATCTACATTCCAACTTCTGAGTATTCCTTTCACCCAAACTTCGTTCTACATTCTCATTATTCTTTTCAGCAAAGATACATTCCACATTTTATTTATTCTTTCACTCAATCTACATTCCATCTATTCCTTATTCTTTTCCCTCACTCTATATTCCTCCTTCTAATTATTTTTACCCCAATCTACTTTGCATTGTCATTATTCTTCTCACCCAGTCTACATTCCACATTCTCATTATTTTTTCACTCAATCTACATTCAACCATCTGTGTTCCCCTTTCACCCAATCTTCATTCCACCTTGTTATTTGTCTTTTCACCCAATCTACTTTCCTCTATCTCATTATTCTTTTCACCAAATCTACTTTCCACCTTCTCTTTATTCTTTTCACACAATCTATATTCCATCTTCTCATACCCAATCTACATCCTACATTCTCATTATTCTTTTCACCCAGTTTAAATTCCACCTTCTGAGTATTCCTTTTACCCAATCTACATTCTCATTATTCCTTTCACAATATCTAGATTCCACCTTCTCATTATTCTTTTCACCCAATCTATATTCCACTTCCTAATTATTTTTACCGCAATCTACTTTGCATTCTTATTATTCTTTTCACCCAATCTATATTCAACCGTTTCAATATTCTTTTTACCCAATATTCATAACACTTTCTCGTTATTCCTTTCACCCAATCTACATTACACCTCCTCATTATTCTTTTCATACAATCTACATCCCCTTCTCATTATTCCTTTCACTCATGTTACATTCCACCTTCTCATTTTTCATTTCACCCAATTCCACCTTCTCATTTTTTCTTTTCACCCAATCTATTTCCACCTTCTGAGTATTATTTTCACCCAATCTTCGTACCACCTTATCATTATTATTTTCACCCTATCTACTTTCCAACTTCTGAGTATTCTTTTCACCCATTCTACTTTACATCTTATTATTCTTTTCACCCAAACTACATTCCATCTTCTGAGTATTTCTTTCACCCAATCTACATTCCACCTCCTCATTCTTCTTTTCCCCAATCTAATTTCTGGCTAGTCATTCCTCTTTTCTGCCAATCTACTTTGCTACTTGCCGTTATTCGGTTTACCCTCTCTACTTTCCCCATTCTCCTTCTTCTTTTCATTCAATCTACATTTCCCCTCATCTTTTCTTTTTTCCTCTTTCCACTCTCTCATTCTCCTATTCCTCTTCTCTTGTTTTCCCTTGGTTTTTCTTTTTTTCTGCCACTGTTCATTCTACCTTCTCTTTCTTCTATCTCCTATTCTTCTTCCTCTCTTCTCATTTTTCTTTTCTTCCCTCTTCTTTTCATCTTTCTCTTTTTTTTCTCCTATTCTTTCCGCTATCTCCTTTTTGTTTCTTTTTCGTCTGTCCTATTTATCATTCCCACTTGTAGCCATTTCCATTCTGACTGAAGAATGTTCACTGACCGACGGCAAAATCGAAGATATATATCCATGACCCCATTGAACCCAAAATCATTCATATTTTTTAAATCACTTCCTAAATCACGCGGATATTTTTTTAATCTTCCTTTTTTTCCTTTCATTGCTTTCATTAGTATTTTATTTCTTTCTTTCTTTCTTTCTTTCTTTCTTTCTTTCTTTCTTTCTTTCTTTCTGTCCTTCTTTCATTTTTTCTTTCCTTATTTACTTATTTATTTTTTTAATGTTTTCTTTCTTTCTTTCTTTCATTCCGAATGTATAAGTTTCCACAAATTATATTTTGCACATGACACACTACAATATTACTACGACAATACCTAGGACTTTTTTTCTTTTCTTTCAATTTTTTAAATATTTTCTTTCTTTCTTTCTTTCTTTCTTACTTTCAATCCTTCTATCTTTCTTTCTATCAATGTTTCCTTTCTTTCTTTCTTTCTTTTTCTTTCTTTACGACGATGCACATGAAACGCTACAACATTCCTACGACCAAGCCTGGAATTTTTTTCTCTTAATCATTTTAATGATTTCATCCCATGAAGCAAAGCATCAATGGCCACTCGATGCAAGTTGTTACTAACAAGGAACGAAGCAGTGAAGACAAAAATACAAACAGGATTGAAGGAGACTGATGACCCAATTGAGATTGAATTTAATTCTTCGAAGATTATTTGGAGTCAGAAGATATTTCCACAAACGAGAAGTGCGAGTGAAGAAACTGTTAGCATAGAACTTCCGGTTATATCTAACCAATTTCCACTATAGCATTATGAGACCTAGATGACAATCAAGTCTTCTTAATAATTCATCTAATAATATTTTTTCATTTAGTTCTCTCTCTCCTAAAACTTTTTCCGCTATCCATTTAATCAAGTTCTCTAAATATGTTAAGCATTGTTTTCCACTGTTCCCCTTGACTTCAGTCTGTCTTGTGATTATCAGATTACTCAAGACCTCTTTTCTCCTTATGTACTCTAGAAATTTTAAATATCTCTTTCTGGTGTTAAATATAAGTTTCCTTGTTTTCCATTTTCTAAAATTTTCTCGTTGCTCACGTGTTCGGTCGATGGTATTTTCAACATCCTTTTGTAGAGTCAAATCCCTGTTGCTTCAAGTCTCTTATTTATCTGTGACAAGAATCCCCAGAATCGTATGAATTCATGAAGTCTAGCTATCAACGAGAAAAGCTCATCAGAAGAAGAATTACTTAGAAAATCTCTATAGAGAAAGCGAAGGGGAGCGATGTTACGGCGATGGGAAAGTGACTAGAGCCGAGATGCCAGGACAGGGCTGGTAAAGTTTCTGATTCTTTTTTGGACATTGTTGTGGATTCCGTGAATGGAATCCTGCACAAATAAATAAACAACGCCAGTAACTGAAATAGAAAAATAAGTGTATTAAAAGTAAGAATACAGACTTGAAGTGAAAATTAGTAGTCCAGGAATGCGGGTTAGTAGAAATTATATGTAGAAGTCTCTGTAAGTAAAACCGTAATCATCTCTCTCTCTCTGGACTCTTGTATAACTCTCTGAGAACACCCTGTGTCTATCTCCTTATCTCTCAAGCTGTCTTGACGTATCTCAACATATCTCAAGGTATCTCCACGTATCTCAAAGTATCTCACAGCTGGTATTCTCTCTGTTGATATAAGTATACTTTGGACGAGTCCATCTTATGTAAAAAGGGGAGAGAGCCACAACAGACATGATGATGATTATGATTTGGCAATGCTTATTTACCGATCCTCTAATATTCTGCTTGCTTCCTGGAAGAAGACTTCGGTGATTTTTGCAACGTTTTTTTCTATTATCCCCACCTTACTTTAGTTTCTTTCTTTTAAGTTTTCCATTTCCGCTGCTCGACAAACAAAGCCTTTCTTCCTTTGTTTCTGTACGATTACAGAAGTTAAGCAATATTGGCTGTGGTCTGTACCTAGATGGATAACCGCTTGGGGATACCAAGTTCTGTAAGCTTGGATGTGCGGGTGGTGTAATGGATAATGGCTCGCAATTGTTAATCGGAGAGACGAGTTTCAATTTCAGTTAAGGGTCGTAATATTCACTAACGTGCAAATACCTTTGGGAAAGGTATGAATCCACATCTTCTCCCCCAGCTATGGGTTAATTAATAAGACTTGTATCACTAAACCATTATTATCTAAAAATATCTTACAATATAAAAATATTTTCTGGATTTAAATAAGCAGGAAGTGGTTGATAAGATGTAAAAAATGAATTATTTTTTCTTTCAGTTTGCTTTCTTATTTGTGTCTGCAAAATACCCCCCTCCTGGAAGTATTCGTTTTATTTCTTTTCTGTTTATTTCTCTATTCGATTCCTTATCATTTTATTGTTTTCCTTCTTGTCTTGTTTAGAAGTTCCTCATGATGGCGTTATCATTCTGATCGAAAAAGGTGGAAACAACGGGTTCAATATACACCTCAGTGAACCAAGTGACCAGAAAGACATTTTATTTTATGTCTTTTCAATCACCGCCGGAATCAGACGGTGACATTTCCATCTTCAAACGATGCTTTTCTTTGATTCTAACAAGAGGTCCAAGGTGATCAATCGACAGGCTGGTTAAACGAGAATGCCGTAAAAATAATTGGAATGACATTGTTTAAGAGTTTCCTTTGTAATAACAGATGTCATCTGAGCAAAAGAAAAACATTTTTGTATAGTTATATAATATCGAATTTTTTATATATAGAAAAAAACTCTTCACAGATGAACAACCAATAAACTAGATCTATCGGCGAATAAAATGGTTATGTTGGCGATTTCCTTATAAGGAAACATTCGGTATTCATTGACCGAGCAACCAGTCCTAAACAAGTTAAGCTTTTCCTCCCTTTCCGGCCATCGGGCTGGGTGGCGAATAGTAATAGTATCCATCTCTTTATAAGGAAATATTCGGCATTCCTTGACCGAGCAGCCATTCCTATTGAAATTACGCTTTTATTCACGCCCTGGTCATCGGACTGGGATCAAAACATAATATCTGTTCTGATCTCTAATGGCAATGATAATTGTAATGTGAGCCATTTTCTTATGAGGAAACACTCGGCATTCATTGACGTAGCAGCCAGTCATATTCAAGCTAAGCTCTTCCTCACTCTCCAGCCATCGGGCTGGGCGTCGAATAGTAATATTATTCATCTCTTTATAAGGAAATATATTCCTTGACCGAGCAGCCAGTCCTATTGAAATTACGCTTTTTTTCACGCGCTGGCCATCGTGCTGGGATCAAAGTATAATATCTGTTCTGATCTCTAATGGCAATATTAATATTAGCTGTTTCCTTATAATTAAACATTCGACACTCATTAACTGATCATCCAGAGATCTTTTAAGTTATTTCACGCAAATCAAGTCAATAAAGCCACCAGTACACAAAGTGTTACTGTGTGTGAATGAATATGAAAGAAGAATAAACACTATTAAGGAAAGAGAACCATAAAAGAACAAGAATTAAGAAGATAACAATGTGATATTGCATTTAAATTATTGAAAATCAATGTTGACTGAGAAGCAAGAAGGGGAAAGAGAGTTCCATAAGTGAGAAGTGGAAGAGAAAAAGAAATTGTTAGTATAGAACTTATGGTTACACTTAGCCATTTCAGCTGTAAGATAATGAGACCTTACCGGCAATCTAGTACTGCGCTTAAATTCATAAAGTCTCGATACCAGTGAGGAAAGCTCTTCAGAATAATTACCATGGAAATTTCTATAGAAAAGGCACAGGTAAGTTAAGTTATAGCGGTAAGAAACTGACTAAAGTCGAGATACCAGTTCAGGACCAATATCATTACAGTTTCTTTTTAGTATATTATCAAGTATATCTAAATACATAGCTGAATCGCCATACCAAATATTATAGTAATATACAACGCCGGGTTAAATAGTAAACTTAAAAAAATAAATTCTGACAAAAGTACAAATTAATTGAAACAACTACTTCAGTTTCTTTTCTTTCACCATACGGTAAGTTTTACACCCTCTGGAGTGTAATCGATTTCTATTTTTGTCTCAGCTTAGGTCATTTGCAGTAGTGTGCAGTAATATGAATCTATTTTCGGAGTGTATGATGAAATTTTTGTGGCCTTGAAAAATATTGCAACATCAGTAATTGCGTCCAATTTTCATCACGCCCAGACACTATTGTCTCGACTGTCGATTAGTTGTCCTACGGACATTGTCTGCGATGGACGTTACTCCAAGGAAGCGTACGAAAATTGTAACTTTGCACGAACACACCGGCAAGCCTTAGCAGTGAACAAATTAAAGTGCTATCGACTGGCTCGGAAACTCTCCTGATTTAAATCCAATCAAGAATGTAATGTTAATCTGCAAGGTACACCATCGTGGAATGGACATACGACGTTCTAACATGTTTACTGGGCCACGTTTCATTGTAAAAATACGCAAAAAAGTAAAGAATTAATCTTTTTGTTTCAATTTATTTACATAAAGATGTAAGTATGAAGCACGACACAATGAAACCAACTTTTCTAACAGCAGAGAAACTGTGCTGGAGGTTAGCATCAGCCATACGGTTGGAAGGTAAAAATGGTTCTCTAACACGGCTAACAGAGAGTAGTATTTTGTTGACGCAAAAATTAACAAGCCATGCTTTGCCCTAGTTAACAACTGATTGGAGGTCATTTTTGAAGATCGGTTTCTACATTGATCCCATCAAACTTAACACATATATTGTAGAGTTCAAAGAGAGTAGAAGCAAGTTCAGAGTACATTTCCTAAGGGCTATTGCAGGAGACCATCATGTTCACGTGATTTGTGGGAAAAATGATAGTAGAAACCATGCCATACCATTGGCTTCAATAAATTTATGAAAGACTAATCAGTATATATATATATATATATATATATATATATATATATATATATATATACACACACAAATGAGAGAAAGATCATGTGAAGTAAAAATCCACTATTCGTAGCATTTACTTTTAAACAAGTGCTCAATACAAAGTAGAACAATATATTATTATACATTTTATTATAAGAGATTATAATAAAGACATGTTGAAATTGCTACACACAAGCTTTCATGTTTCAATACTATGATTGTACTTCTTCAGGCGATGGTAAGTAACTGGTGATTAAATGATTTTTTATGAAAATTTAAAAACAAAGTGTTACCTCTTTTCCGAAAGTTAAAGAAGGGAAATATATGGTCAGAATTAAAAATAGACTTGTGGGTATGTCTTGATTAACCAATAAAATGTCAGATCTGCGTTAAATAGAAAAATAGGCTGGTGAGGTGGGTAAATCATTTTTTCATGCCATGATAAACCGAACCATTGACATCATCATTGACAATTGCAGAAACACATTTCTGCAGCAACATTTCATAAAATACGGCAAACAAGGAAGATGATTTTATTAATTTTTATTAAGTTTTTCCAGCATCATTACTGTCTTGCGTTTATATATGAATAAGAAAGACAAGAAGCAAAACTATTCCCTTCAGAAAGCTAAACGCGTCAGCTAAAAATTGTTTTTCCTCTTGTCTCATTATATATATATTCTGATCTTTAACATTAGATCGTCTATGGTGTGTGTATGTCACCACGAAATGTATCTATAATGTATTAGACATCGGACAACATTCATATTTCCCCCTTCCACTCAACTCTATAAAACTTCTCTCTGTTAAGGTTTAATCTCCCACCTTCTCTCGTCTGTTACCCCTCTCTTTAGCTCTAACATTTGTCCCACACTTACACACTCTCTAAATTCTATTTTTATTTCCAGAGTTGTTTTTTTCTGTTTTCTTTCTGAATTTGTAGGTCGGATGAATTGGAGCGTATTTACGATTCCAATGGAATAAATTATGACCTTGGAATATTAGTGTTTAAGCCTTTATATATATATATATATATATATATATATATAGACTCTCCCCATCGTATTAGACATATGAGGGTCAGCAACCCAGTTCCTAAGAACAGACAGCTAGATAACAGCACATATGATTTGATTATAGTGGTGAATGATTTGTGCAGAACCAACCACACTTTTTGAAGGGCTGAATACAGAGACCTGGAGAACCACGTGCCACAAGGTCCCCAAACGACAATCCGCAAGATTTGAATTCAGAGTTGTCCTTCTCCTAGACCAGTTGCCAGATCCTTAGTCTGTCCTGCTAATTACACATAGCTGGAAGAAGAAGAATATTCTTACATTTCCCAAGCACGTAAGCGTATGTAATTGATTCGACTGGAATTCGAACTGGGCTCGGAGAGCCGAGTTCGAACCGCTCCCCACTATATATATATATATATATATATATATATATATATATATAAAGTGAATCCGCTTGCCACCTGTTACTTATAACAGTAGCTGGAAGGAAGGTGTGTAGAGTGTGGTCATCGTAACTTAAGATTCGATGCTGCAGCTGCTCGCTATCTCCAAAAGAGGAGTTCCAGGACATCTATGCGCCGTAACTCTACAGGACGTGAACGTTCATAGCTCTCCATTATTTCCTATCTCTTGTAGGTTTTAGCAAATTTTGTCTTTCTACCATCCTTTTCTACTTCCTGTTCTGCCGTCCATTTGCACATTTACCTTCAGGGTGTGGATGATCGTGGCTCTTCACAGCTTCCTATCATTTGTAGCTCTTAGTAAGATTTATCTTTTCACTATCTCTCCCACTTCCTGTTCTGCCATCCATTAACACAAGCTTGTTAAGTGGGTTACGCACTGTTTCCCTCTGTCCCTCTTGCTTCCAGGATATGGATGGTCATGGCTCTTAACAGCTTCCTTTCCTTTGTAGCTCTTAGTAAGATTTATCTATTCAGTATACCTCCCACTTCCTGTTGTGCCATCCATTTACACAAGCTTGTTAGGTAGGTTACTCACTGTTTCCCTCTGTCTCTCTTGCCTTCAAAATGTGGATGACATGGCTCTTCACAGCTTCCTATCATTTATAGCTCTTAGTAAGTTTTACCTTTTCACTATCTCTCCCTTTTCTATTCTGCCATCCATTTACACAAGCTTGTTAGGTGAATAATTCCGTTTTCTCGATACACCTTCACTGTGTCTTCTGAGTGTCAAATCTTCCAGAACTTTTCATCTTATATGAATCGGAGATTTAAATTTGAACAAGTTACCTGTTTCTGAGATGTATTGTAACTATTTACACGGTTTACATTGTTTACTATTTACATTGTTCGGACTGTTGTCCTCATTTTTATTGCCATACTCACGACGTTTCGGCCGTTGTACACTCCGGACTTATTCAGGTGGTTGGAATATCGAACTGAACCCTTTATTTTGCTCGCTGGTGTAGACTGTTCTAGTTCCACATGTCATGTGTCTCTAAGGACACATGTTACAGTGGATAAGGGTGTTAATTAGATCCAGTGACAGGACCCAAAGAGTTGCGAGTTCAATACCTCGTCAGGGAGAACTTGGAGAGGGGAATTAACAGGAGGTAACTGATAACTGACATTCATTAAAAATAGCACATGTAACTAGATCAGTCTACACCAGCGAACGAATTAAAGGTGTTCAGTTCGACATTTCAACCACCTGAAGAAGGCCGGAGCGTATGTTTCGGTTGTTGTACACTCCGGCCTTCTTCCGAATGTGCCTATATTTCTGAGATGATGCATTGTAAATCTTTACACTATTTACATTGTTCGGACTGATGTCCTCATTTTTATTGCCATACTCACCAGATTTCGGCCGTTATACGCTCCGGTCTTCTTGAGATCTATCTATCTATCTATCTATCTATCTATCTATCTATCTCAAATGGTGAAATAGCAGACCAGTTACTGATTGTCGGGAAATGCTTTTGTGTAGTAAGTTTTGTCCTCACTGAATACTCTCTTTCTTTGACCTTGTGCCTCACTAAAGATTTGTTTCCTTATGCAGGCTTCGTAAATAGCTAACTGTTTATCAAATATCGCCCGACACTTGGCTCTTCGATCATTCTTAATATTTGACTTTTTTTTCATATCGTTTTTTTCTTTTGCTCATCTCGAAGTACTTCTTTAAGATTTCGGCCGGCTGATGATCTATCGATTTAAGCAAAAAAGCAGCCAATCAGTTTCATCAGTGAACATTCAGGATGGACAGGAAGAAACCGATCCCTCCCCATTTTTTTTCAATCAGAATTTGATTTTTATATGAAGATCCGAAGTGACGGATTCTGTCTGATAAATTTGCTATTTATATCAGTGTTTTGATGCAGCACGAATGGAGAAAATAAAATACAAACATCGATATATGCACAGTGAGAAAAACAGTCTTCTAACTCAGTCTGTTCATATCTATCGATCTTGCTATCTATTCTGGTCTATTCAGAGAGATAGGGAGAGAGAGGGAGGGAGAGTGAAACATAGGGAGTGAAACAGAGAGACATATGGATGGACACATATTTTGATATGAAGAGACTGTCATAAATATAAATAAACTGACATAGATATCTATGAATAGAATGACATAGATGTAAGTAGACTGGCATAGGTATTTATATATACAGGGTGCGATGGATAAATTGTCGTCTAAGTTACGCACAAATGAAAATGACACTGGCATCACATTTTAACAGATATATTTACCAAAATTAAACAAAAATCTCTTGAAATACTATAGAATGAATCTATTCAATAAAATCGACATTGGCTTTAACCACGGTTTTTTCCAGACGACTGCAACTCTTCTGGACGGTGTCCTTGTTTAAGATTGTGAATGCTGTCATCATCCTTGCCTTTAACCCTAGAACACTAACCATGGGTATATAGTACCCAGCGCAAATTTTCCTATTTTTAATTACAATTTTCAGTACCTGATTTTCTTATCTAAATAATATGTTTTTCAGTTCCTATTAATGTTAACTCAAAGTACAAGGTTTGAAGTGCCTGCATGTAAAATATTTCAAATAAAGATTTATATTTAATATTTTTTTTTGATATTTTCAAAATCGGGTATGATATAGCAATGGCGAGTAGTGGTTTAACTTTAAGTGATGGTTAGTGTTCTAAGGTTAATTCATCTTTGGTGTTACAAGGCGTTTTGTTGGTCTCTCGCTCAACTGCGCCCCACACATAATAATCAAGGAGGTTGCAGTCTGGGGAGTTAGATGGCCAGATGTAAGGTTTGGTGTGGTCGCAGAAATTGTCTGATAGCCATGATCAGGTTCTTCTGATTGTGTGGTATGGGAAGACATAGGGTCTTCCAGCAGCCATCCTCTTGACCCAGGGAAGCACTACTGCCTCAAGGCATTTGATGTAGGCTTCCGTGTTGAGTCTGAGTCTCTGTAAGAAGATGAATAGAGGCATAACGTCAACATCACTAATGATCATTCCAAACACCTTCGTAATCACCATTAGACTCATCCAACTCTTTTCGAATCCTCTGCACTATCCTCAGATTGACGCTGAAACACTCTGAAATGTTCGTATTGGCGTGTTCAGATACGGGCTTCTCTGCAATTTGTCCAGATCCAGGTCTTTGTCAGCTGTCTGGTGCCAATAAAAGCGACGGGAGGGCCACCAATTGGCAGTTGGCTAGTCTCGCTGTCTTTTGAAGTCGTTCCTTTGGTTATTTTCTCCCTAGAATTGCCTACCGCTATCCATGCCGTACTTTCTAAAGCAATGTTGTTTTATTTCCATTCCCCTTCTCTTCCTTTTACACTGTAGTTCCCCAACCTCAACGCAATCTTTGCGACGCTTTTGACGGCAATTTTCTATGTGCAGTGTCCGTTCAGGGCGTAGACGATCATGGCTTTCCATTTTCCCCTACCCCTTGTATCTATCATATGTACCTATGTTTCATAGACTATGAAAAGGTCTTCGACAAAGTATGCCACAAAGATCTCCTGGAACTGCTCAGCGACCTTAATATATTCGGGAAAGATATTAGAATAATCAAGAACCTATACTGTCAGCAAACGGCATGCATGCGTATAGGGAAAGAGTTCAGCAAAAATAGAAAGAGGCTTCATTCAAGGATGTGTCTTCTCACTGAACCTGTTCAACGTATACAGCGAGGCAATTCTGAGAGAACTGAAAACCTACCGGGATTTAGAATTAGTGACTACAATCTAAAGAATAAGACACACAGATGACACAGTACTGATAGCAGACACGGAAAAGAAATTACAAAATCTCCTACAGAAGGTAGCGACAGAGAGTGTGAAGAAAAAACTAAGCATGTACTTCAAGAAGACAGAATGCACAGTCATCAATAAAAGGGTGAACCCAAAATGCGATTTGAAGGTCGGGAACACTAGATTGAAGCAGACGCGGATGTATAAATATCTGGGAAGTGTTCTGACAGAGGACGATAAATGTGACAATGAGATCTGTAGACGTATTGGGAAGATCAAGGAGATTCTAAAAGTTGGACAGAGTATTGCAAGACAGAAGGATTACTTTGGAACAAAGAAAAGAATACTTCTTTACGGCAGCGAATGTTGTACGATTTCCTCGAAGAGGAAGATGAGACTGGAGACGACGGTGATGTTCTACAGAAGGATGCTGAGGATATCATGAACCAACCATGCGGTCTTAGAGAGGATGCAAACAAGTAGGAGGCTTATGCTTAACACCAGGAATAGGCAGCTAAAGATTGGGGGACACATAATGAAGAAGGTGGGCCTGGAGATTCTGATACTCACGGGTCGAAGAGAGAGAGAAAGAGAGAGAGAGAGAGAGAGAGAAGGGAAAGCAACGCATGACATACCTGGAGGGTTTAAGCCCGTGGATGACAGAACGTGGTCTGGCGGGGAGGTGGCAGAGGGACGAAGCTTATTGAGATGTACAAGGGATAGGGAGAAGTGGAGAGCCATGATCGTCTACGTCCTGAAGGGACACGGCACAAAAAGGTCGAATACAGAGAAAGAAAGACAAGGGAAAGCAACGCATGACAAACCTGGCGGGATTAAGCAAGTGGATGACAGAACGTGGTCCGGCTCTAATGAATCGAAAAGAGGTGATGTTTCACCAGGACAATGCGCGACTCCACACAGCAAGAATCACGTCACAAAAGATCGAAGAACTTTTGTCTAAGAAAATTCTCATCCACCTTTATTCTCCTGATCTTGCTCCTTCAGACTACCATTTGTTTTCGTAGCTATAGAATCATTTTTGAAGAAACAGCTTTTGTAACACAGGAAGAGGTTAAAACTGACATTTGTGAGTTGTTTGAATCAAAGCCAAAAGAATTTTACAGTAATGGAATTAGTAAGCTTGTTAATAGATGGAAGGAAGTCATAGATAATCAGGGAAAATAAATTGTTGATTGAATCTGTAATTAAATGTAACATTTGGTTACTTGTTTTCTTTATTCAAAGTTCGGACAGAACTTATGGGATGACCTGATACTTTGGTAAAACCAGAGTATTTGTAAAACACGCACAAAGTCTGAGAAGCGATCGAAGCAAAGTAAATAAAACAAAAAAAAAAACAAAAAAAAAACATTAAGAAACCAAATGAAAAACCGATAAAAATAAAAAAATTCAATATAACCTGCCATCAGAACCCGGCAAAAGACAGGCCCCTATCTATAAAATAGAGTTTAATGTCGAAATAATCAAGAGTAATTTTTTAGCGCACTCAACGTCGCTACTGAATATGACACAGAGTTGAGATTTAATGTGCGTTTACCGGCAACACCATGGAAAAATTGACCAAGCTCCCTCGGTACATCCCCTTTTGAGGATGCCTCAGGCGCCGATCAATAAAACCAGCGCTCTCCCGAAGGAGAGGTACTACCGGGGTGGGGTCAGGCTTAATATTTTTAAACGAAAACAGAGATTATTCTTAGAAGAGAATTTAGCCATATTAAAGCAGTACAGTGACATTAGGCTGATGAATTCAAAGAAAATTGATTAGCTGATGTAGGCATCGTATTAAACACCTTCTATGCTATCTGCCATCAAATAGTTATCTCCCTTTCCTCTATTCGGTTAGATTAAAGTCGCCCGGACTAAATAGGTCCGGCCATATTTTTTCTTTGCTTATTTTCTTTTTCTCAATATGGGCGACTGTTGTTCACCGGAATTTTCCCATCTTTTTCCTCGTTTATGTTAGTATAATATGTTCCTTTCCTTACTGCATTCAGTTGCCTTCTGGTCGCCTAGCGATTACCGTAATAAATATCCAGCTAGCTGTCAAAAAATTACTTTCATTTGCAGTGGTTTATATATATATATATATATATATATATATATATATATATATATATATGTATGTATATGTATATTTTCCACTAATATTATTAAATATATATATATATATATATATATATATATATATATATATAGTTAATATTAGTTAAAATATACACATACATATGCAAAATATATAAATATATACATAGGTGAATACATACATGTATATTTTTTAAATAAAAATTCCAAGAGGATAGAATCCAGGGAGAACCTTGTCCAGGATAGATTAAGGATATAATAAAAAGGTTTAAACACTAATATCCCATGGTCATAATTTATTCCATTGAATCGTAAATATGATCAAATTCAATTAGTTATTGGAAAATTAATTTTAAAAATAGTAATTGTTGGTTATTGAATTTATTCCGTATACACCCATATATTTTCATATATATATATATATATATATATATATATATATATATATATATATATATATATATATATATAAATATTGAAGTCAACTTAGAGGCGACAGGCTGTTTTCATGCTAGACGCAATCGATTGACCTCAATATTCACTTTTATATTTACACGCTCTATCTCTGATATTGAGGTACTTTATTCAATAAATGTAG